CTGTTCAAAGGTCAATTGTAAATACAAAACTACTACAAATTACCCTTAACCACTTTAGAAAGTTAAATTGCATTCCAGTAGACCAAGGGAACAAAAATCAGGCTTTTACAAAGCCAAAAGCATTTAAGGAAATAAACTGCATTGTGTATCATACACTTCAAGTGAAGTACTGTCTTCCTAGAGCAATCATTTTTTCCCTCTTAAGATATTAACAAGGGAAATAAACTCAGACAATATCAACAACAGCAGAGGCAGAAAAATTCTGACTCCAGTGTATCTCTATTGCTGACTAGAAAAAAATACTGTAATTGTCATTTGTAATCCCACAAGGCAGGGATGAAGACCAATTTATTCTTGCAAATGATGTCACCATACAGTTAAAGCACCAGAGCCTAAAGGTAGAAAATGCTAAATACTTGCATAATTCAGTAAAAATGTTTTAAAACAGAAGAATATGTTTAAGAAAAATGAGTCCTCAGGCTCACATGAGCACTGTTTGCTACCACTGGTATACCAAGTACATTAAAGAATAATTCTGAAAACATTTTACAAAGTTAAACATGGCCAATGTCAACTCATATGGTAGAGTCAAATCCTAACTCCACCATTTTATTGTGTAAACTTAGGCAACTCAACATTTCTGAGCCTTACTGTCCCCATCTGTAAATCAGTGATTTAGAAAAATCTACTTCTTAGGGTTGTTTTAAGGTTTAATTAGATATACCGTAAATGACAAAGGCTGGTCACATAACAGATGCTTAATAGGTGAGGGCCTTTGATGATGACTGTTATATTTGATTTTGTATGTTCTCATTTTATCTCTGGGAAAGACAGTAACTCCAATCTGCTATTGATAATATAGGTAATCCTGTCTTGGTTCTACAAACCTGTCAGCATATATTATTCAAAGAGCCACAAAACATCTCTCCCAACAATAACTTTATATATACAAATGATTTTAAGCTTGGGCCTGTGATTTTGCAAGTTTTATCCCTCTTTTCCTTAAAGGTAAACACAAATCAAAACACTACAGAAGCAATGGCTGAAATGGAATAAGACTAACTGGACGATGGGTATCAGTGGTGACAGGCCATGGACAGGAAGCAACAAAGATCTACAATTCAAATATAGATGGATTTAGGATTAACCCTCTCTTCTCAGCAGGAAGCAACAGTGACTTCTCCACACTTCCCTCTAAAATATATGAAATCTTTTGCAAACAATCCATGCTTCCTGATAGTTCGCTAGACCTTTCTGCAGTAAAGCAGCAAAGTGGAAAACTCCCCAATGAAGACAAAAAAGTAATAACCATGGGTAAAAAGTACTATATATTCAAAAAGCACATTTAAAAAAATTTCCTGTTCTGATTAGTACCTATGAAGCCAAATTCAATTCCGTAAAAAGGTATTTCAAGTGATTTTAAAGCACTGATGATACTGACTACAGTTGTTTCCGGTCAGTATCAAGAAGCCTGTATTTTATTGCAGCAAACACGGGAAACCTCCCAGGTAGTCGCTTGAGCTCTAAGTGGAGCTCATGTTACTTAACATTCATCCAGATAAGGCCCTTCTTATTACACATCACAAGTTTAGATCAGGAGAAAATAGAGTGTGCCAACATATTCCAAGGAAATAGGTGGATTTACTACTGCTTAAACCAGAAAATCATTAACACGTCAAGGCCTATACTAAGAAACAAACGGATGCGACAATTTCCGTAAAGGTTCAGTCAAGTCAACAAAACCTTACAGGGATCTGAAATGATATAATGTATAAATCTCTATAGGTCTGGGGCCAACGGCCCAAGGTCACATCAAGTCAGTGGCTAAAATATTCGAGAAATGCTAAGCCTCCAGCAATTTAGAAAAACCCTGGCTAGGAATGGAGTCTGGGTTTGGGAACACTCGGGTCAAAGCTTTAATGTGAACAGCCCCAACCAAATGCAGTGGCTCCACGGGAAAAGCCCAAGCGATTCGCGCAGTTATTTCCTTCATTTCCCCAGTCTTCCCTTCCCGTAGGCACCCCCAACACTCACATCTCCGGAGCCACTTCATCCAATGGTAGACGATAGTAGTGTGGTGTTTCTTGTTCTCTATACACCAGGACGAGAGGCCTTGAATAGATTCCATGGTGTTGGTTACCGACTGGAATTTTCGATCCAACGAGGACTCCAGAGCCCCTGCCGAAGAGGCCGACGAGGAGGAGGCCTTACTGCTGCCTCCGCCGCCGCCGGCCGCCATCTTCCCGGTTTGCACAAGCGCTGCTGCTCCTCTGGCGGCGGCGGCGGCGGCGCCGGCGGCGGGAGCGAGCAAAACAATCACTGCGAGTGCGTGAAAGCAGTAGGTGGGAGGGAGGCCAGGGGGAGGGGATGGTGCACGCGCTAGGCTCTTCTGGAGGTAGGACGGAAGGACCAGCTGCTGGCCACGCTGGTGGCTGCTACACGCTGCAAGGAGGGGCTGTGGGTTTCGAAGGTTTATCAGAATTGTTCAGGGGGTTGTGTTTAAACCAGTCAGTAATCAGGGAAGAATTAAGCAGAAAACAGGTCCTGCAAAGCCCTTCAAAACGCCTGGCCCCCAAACCAATGGCTTTATACTCTTAGGCTCTCTACGCTAAGGCCCTTCCCCACGCTCCTATTACAGCGGGCGTTAATATCTTAAATTTAATACTACCCGACTGCCCCTTCGGTAGCAGAAATCTTTCTCCTTTAGATCCTCTAGTACAGAAAAGGCCGAAGGATAGCTAGTCAGGATTTTTTTTGCAACGCAATAGCAAAGGGACAGCAACAGTATCGCGCACGCGCAGGTGGGCGCCGGCCCGCCCCCCTTCCTCCTCAACCTAGAAAGCAGAGGGAGGCCGTGATGGCGGGGCAATCTGACCAATCAAGGGAGAGGCACGAGAAGCGCGCGCAGGAGCCCGCAAGCCCGTAGGGCCAAGGTGGCGCTACGATTACTTCTGCGCGTGCGCAGCACAGCAGCGTGCAGCGGGCTGGGAGGAAAAACGGGGAAGGGAAGGGAAGGAGGAGTAGGGAGTTGGTTAAAGTAAGGAGAGGTTTGGGGGAGGGGGTTTCACCGCCCGGCCCCGCCCCGCCCCGCGCTTCTTAGGTAGGTCTCTCTCTTGAGGCTACCCAGCTCACAAAACAGCCCACCACTCAGCGGCCACTGTTACTTTCTGGCAGCTGCAGCCGCGGCGGCACTAACTTCTTGGGGAACTGACGCACGACAAAGTGGCCGGCAGCCATCTTGCAGTGCCTTACATGATGCGCATGCGCTAGCTCCAGCGAGCCATTCACTACGCAGACTCCTAGAGGGAGCCGTATTTTACATTCTCCTTGGACCGTACCATTCATAGCCGCTTGACTGAATTGTAGGAAGAGGAAGTAAATGAAGTGAAACAAGAATTTCCCTGTAAAAAGGCAAGATATCTCACTTGGCCAGTTAAGGCACAATCTTGCAATTGCATAATACGTTATAATTTACAAAAGTCTTGGATATATCGATTGGCACAACCTAGATTAACTGTTCTGTAGCATCTGCCATGTAAATCCTTTGAGCAGATTTGGAGGCTTCTGTGTCTCACTGACCACAAGCAGTTGTTATATTTTAATTATTTTCTGCCTCCCCAGTAGACTCATGTTTCTTGAGGCAGGGAACCTGTTTTGTCAAGCTCATATCTAGTAGTCATTAATTCAACAAAGTTGTTGCACATGTTGAATGAACCATTGCTAGGTGTTGGAGAGTAACAGCAAAACACAAAAATTCCTTTTCTCTGGGGCTTAGTGTTAGGATACCATAAGCAAACATATATCAGGGGGTAGTAATAACTTCTATGAAGTATGAAGCAGGGTAAAGGTATTGTATGGGTGATCCTGTATGGGCATAGGAATGGTGGTTTGGTGAATCAGGAAGGCTTTTGGCGGGAACTAACACTTGCTCTTGTTAAACCAAAAATTTTAACTTACACAGCTGAAAGTCTTCTTTAAAAATGGTTTATTAGGCTATTGCTACAAAAAAGAAGAATGGTCTTGCAGTGTGGACTCTAAACCACCAACAACGTGGTTAGGTAAGAAAGACATGTACCATGTCCTTGGACTTTGCAAGCATTTTTTTTTTTTTTAATCCTCACCTGAGGACATGCTTATTAATTTTAGAGAGAGGGTAAGGGAGAGAGAAACATCGATCAGTTAGTTGTCTTCCTGTAACGCCCAACCAGGGATCAAACCCGAAACCTAGGTATGTGCCCACATGGGGAATCAAACCTGCAACCTTTCCGTGTATGGGACCACACTCCAACCAACTGAGCCACGCTGGGTAGGGCTGCAAGCATTTTTATACATGAAGTAGGGGGAGAAAGGTGTAAAGCCTTCTGAAAGAATTTATGTTAGGTATAGACAAAGGGGATAGGAGAAGGTGAAGATGGAATAGGTGCATGAGAGTCCACAACAGAGTATGTAAAGCTCGTGTGTAAACCAGAAGCAGAGGCTCCTGGGGTTCAAAAATGGGGAGGGGAGTAGTAGGGAGTTGGTCAAACTAGCTATTCTCTTTTTAGATCTGGAAATAACCACCTGCAAGTTAATAAGTCCAAAATACACTGAGTGTGAGCAGTCTTTTGTTGGTTTTGCACTTTAGATGTCAATTAACCTCTTACTGTCTCTTCCTTCCACCCTCTGGCCAGCTATAATTTAACTTAGGATATCCCAGAATTTTCTCCTTGTCAATCTGAATGTCAGGAACAAGTTAATCAAGCAGATATGGGGGACAAGGAAAGAACATACTGGCAAAAGGAAGAACTAGTACAGAGACCCTAAAATAGGAATGGCTTGACATATTAGAACAAGGAGGTCAGTGTGGCTGGAAAAGAGTAAGAGAGGGGATAAGTCGTAGAGGTCTAAGAGGTGAATGAAAAGAACAGAGAGTTCATCTAGGGCCTTGCAGGCCACTGTAAGGGCTTCGGCTTTTAACTGAGTTGGAGAGCCTTTTTTTAATCCTTACCTGAGGATATTTTTTCCATTGCTTTTCATAGCGTGGGAGAGAGAGAGAAGCATCTATGAGAGAGAGACACATCGCACCGACGGGCCAGGGATGGAGTCTGCAACTAAGGTACGTGCCCTTGACTGGAATGGAACCCAAGACCCTTCAGTCTGCAGGCCGAAACTCTAACCACTGAGACAAACTAGCTAGGGCATGAATTCCCTTCTTTGCATTCCCCTTGCCTTCTACCTAATTAAGGTTATCATTACTATTCTAATGAATTATATATCAACAGCATCACAATCAATTTCCCAGTCTATCTCTTCAGCTTATACACCATTACCAGATTAATCTTCTAGTTCTCTACTCAGAAACAAACAAAACAATAAACACACACACAGAAACACATACACAGAGAAACACTTGTTCCTTGTTACCTACCAAGTTAAGTAAAAGCCCTAGCTTTTAAGATCCTCCACAATGGCAACAATCTAACTTCTCAGTATTGTCTCAAGTGCCTTTCCTATGTAGTTCCTTGGGCTCTAAACTGTTTTCCTTAAATATATCCTGCAATTTTCTATTTATAATTAATTTTTCTTTCTGCCTAAAATGTCCTATCATTAAAATTCTAGTCACCTTTTAACTGCTGCCTTAAATTGCCTTTTTCATGCAAACTTCCCTGATCATTCCAACTGGGTGGAATTTCTCTTTTGTGCAATAGTATCTTCTGCCATGAATAAAATTATTTGTATTTTCTTCTTACCGCCAGGAATACTGCATTGAATAACATTTTAAACCACCTTGAGCCCTGGTCAGTGTGGCTCAGTTGGTTGAGCATCATCCCATGCACCAAAAGGTCACCAGTTCGATTCCCAGTCAGGGCACATGCCCAGGTTGCACGTTTAATCCCTGGTTGTGGTGCATGTGTGCGGGAGGCAACAGATCAGTTTCTCTCTCACATCAATGCCTCTCTTTGTTCCTCTCTAAAATCAATAAAAACCTATTTTTAAAAAGAACATATATGCATACCCCATGGACACGGACAACAGTGTGGTGAAGGCCAAGGGAGGGGGAGGGCAAAGGGGTGGGGGGAGAAGGGGTACACCTGCAATAATGTCAACATTAAAAAATTTTAAGTGTTCTAAAAATAAAATTGTTTGCCAAAAAATATTTTTGTACAGCTGTACATCTTAAGGTGTTACAAGTCAAAACATTTTTTAAAATTTGTTTATAAAGTTACAGTAAGCTAAGATTAATTTATCATTGAAGAAAAAAATTATATTTAGTGTAGCCCAAGTCTACAATAGTGTAATGTCTTAGGCCTTCACATTCACTCACCCAGAGCAATTTCCATTCATGCTAAGTGCCCTATACAGATGAACCATTTTTAATCTTTTATACATTTTTACTGTATCTCCTCTATGTTTATATACACAAATACCATTGTTACAGTTGCCTACAGTATTCAGTACAGTAACATGCTATACAGGTTTGTAGCCTAGGTGTGTAGGCTATATCATTTAGATTTGTGTAAGTGCACACTATGATGGTCACACAGTGACAAAATCTAACACCACGTATCTCAGAACATTCTTCAGCAGAAGTGCTGAGATTAAGGGGGTGCGGTCTGTGTCCTGGTACCTTGAACACAGAATCTTCATTAAATGCTCTTAAGTATTTTTGTCTTCTGGTCTGAGTATAGGTTCTCTGGCACCTCTACCTCCCTACCTGTGCATCGAAAAACTGCCTAACAGGTTCTAGAGTTACGGGTATGAGGCCCTGGACTCCTCTGCCAACTCCTGAGAAATAAAGTGTGCAAAAGATAGCACCAAGACTTAGAGGCCTTGGCCAGTTACCTGACTTGACCTTTTCATTTATAAAGTGAGAATGATTCCTGTTGGTGACATAAATATATGTGTGTAGTGTTAAATATAAAATAGTTGAAAGGCAAAAACCCACACAAAAAACCCATCTCCCCATCATTAAGCAATGTATGACTGTATATTATATACACCTTTACATTTTAGAAGTTGTGTATACTTTACACACATTATTTGTGATAAATCCTTTAGTAAAAGCAAAAGCACTTATTTTTAAGGCAATGATTCGCCCCCCCGGATTTTGTTAAATCAAGAAACATTAAAAATAAGTTCAATTCTCTAGCTCTCAGGTCTCACAGATATAATTATTAGCAAGCACTGTCCTAAAGTCTTCATTGCTGAGTCCTAGCAAGGTAGGCTTTTCCAGATTTCATCCTGCTTCAGGAACTAGTAACCTTGCCTGTCTGAGTTTGCTTATCTATATATATTTTGCTAGTTTCCTTTGCCTTTTGCACTCCCTTGTCTCTTTCCACCTCTTTTATCCTAGTGCTTCCTACTAGTGCCTTAAAATTGGAATTCTAACCAGCACCAAGGGTTAGTTTTATAAGAGAATGTTTTAACTTCTGATCAAGTATCCATTCTCCAATAATACTTCCTAGTAAGCTCTAACTAGCAGGAAGTTATGGGAGCTCTAATGGCTCCTGTGTTCAATCCATTTGCACCGTGTCAACAGGCAACATGAAATGTATAGATATAGTAGGAATTTTAGACTTTAATGGATACTTATTCTGACTCAAATACTCCTCTAAAACTAAACCAGAAACATTAAAACATTAAATGTTTAAACCACATTTAGTCAAGATTCTTGGTGGGGAGGACCAAAACCTACACATTGTCTTTTAGAAAAGGATCTTTTTTTTTTTTTTAATTAGTAAAAAGGAAATAGAGCCCTGGCTGGTTTGGCTCAGTGGTTAGAGCGTCAGCCCGTGGACTGAAGGGTCCCAGGTTCGATTCCGGTTGAGGGCATGTACCTCAGTTGCAGGCTCGATCTCCAGCCCATCAGGGTGTATGTGGGAGGCAACCAATCGATGTCTCTCTCTCACATTGATGTTTCTCTCTCCTTTCCATTCTCTCTGAACAGCAATGGAAAAAATATCCTCAGCTAAGGATTTTAAAAGAAAGGAAATAGGCTAAATTCCCATTC